TGCAAAGGTTAATCCGAATCGGTCCAGAAATAAAATTTTCTACTCGTAACATACGTACATACAAACAGACAGGCTTGCAGACGAACAGACATTCAGTCTTTATATATAAGACTAGCGAACCTACGGGTCGCTAGCAAGCGATTGGAGCAAACCCATAGACAAATGCTGTTTCAAACTATAATTTTTTCAGACAAATTTCCAGTTTTTCAGTATATGTTTTGACACAAAAGTGAAATTTTAGGAGATTTTCTCAAGATTTGGGCGAAAAGTCCGCGAACATGAATTTATTCCTGATCAGTTTTCTGCTGTTCCCCATTTTTCTAACAAGTGTCGTAAAAAGCCATTCCATAATATCTATGATCATATGTTCTCAGCCCAGCTGTGGCCAAGCGTGTACAAAAGAGGTAAGAAGTTATCACAATTACGCCTAGTAAATTCAACCGAAAATACTAGGTACAATGATACCAAAAATGTGATTCTAGAGGCGAGTAACTTTGCAAACGTGGGCGATTCCGCGAAGTAGGTGCAAGTGTCTGCAGAGAGGTGCGAAGTTCCGTTCCTCACATCTACGTTATTGTATAGAACTGAGAAAGAACGAGAATTGCGAAGCATCTAAAGAATTAAAACAGCTAGGTCTTTGTAAACATCCTCCACTACTACCATTTGCAAAAATCAAAACTGTTCAAATTGCTTTTGCCTTATTTTGCAAATTTTAAAAACAGACACTTACAGGTTCATGCTTCGATAAAACCGGTCAACCTGGTATCTACTCAAGAGACATACTTTTGGTCACAGTTACACTGTAATTTTCACATTTCTGCTTACAGCGATCCCAAAATTCCAGTGTGGATAAGTTCGCAAATCTTTGCCTTCAAATGCCCAATCTATAGCGAGACATACTATAAATTTATCTTCTCACCTGTAAAAATCTTTGAGATGTTCTGGATTAGTTTATTATTCCTTATAATATAAGCATCCTGGTATATCTCCAAAAAGTCATGATGACTTGGCAGCATTGTATGAAAAGCCCGTGTCCCCCCACTCTCCCCTCTACTAGCCGTAATGAAGAATGTGCATTACCAGGTGAGAGACGAGAGGTGCGAAGCAGGTGTGAGGAGGTAGATATGAGCACTGGGTGTGAACTCCCCGATCGTATGCAAGATCTCCCTCCCAAAATTTCGAGTTGAGGCAGATATTCAGACGAAAGAAAAAGTTTCTGAACGCTTTTTGATTTTCTTGAGATTTGAGTACAAAAACAAATAAAGAAACTTTGGCGAGCCTACGTTTGAACTTTGCAGAGGTAAAGTTGTTATAAAATTTTGAATAGTTCTCAGACTTCACAAGCAAAAACTACTGGCTTGCACAGTTTCATTATACATGTAAACAACCGTTAGTGGCGGTAGTTCGATGTGGTTAGGAACGAACACCTTAAATAGGCACCGCCTCCGCGGGCTGCTAGTCCTTTCGTCTAACGGCTTTTTAATCATTAACTCTCAAATTACCTTCCCAAATCAGTTTCAGGTGAAGGGGTCCATCCGGGTCTTAGCTTAAACATGAGAATGTACGATTATAAATTATATCAGGTTGTCAAGAAAATAATGTCCGTTTTTATTTGCTTGCCTTTAACAAAGCAACCAGACTCAACCCAACAAAGGGTAAGGGGTACTGTTCGATAGACAAAGCAAGCTCCACAAGATGGCATTCATGTCTTTGCGCCATGCTCGATCCACGGAGAGTTCGAACTCAAAATCTAAAGATTTCCAAATGCCCAAAAATCGAAAAAAATCAGATCTTCGTCCAAATAATTTCTACGGACCTCCCACTCGCTCACATCAATACTATCGATATCTGATATCCATATGTGCGATTGCCGTATTTTTTCCTTGACTAGAAATTGAGAAAACGACGAAAAATAACGAATTCGGATTTTTTCGTTTCACTTTCAGTGCTAAAATCGACATTTCTCGAAAAGTAATAGGCTGAAAACCTACAGTTATGCTTAGTTAGGCTCGTAGTATAGAACTATGCAAAAACGGCTCAGCATTGCTTTGAGAAAATCAGGGAAATTTTCGTTTTTTCATTTTTTTCGTTTTTTTCCTTGACTTTGTTAGAACAAGCAAATAAAAACGGACATTATTTTCTTGACAACCTAATATAATTTATAATCATACAATCTCATGTTTAAGCTAGAACCCGGATGGCCCCCTTCACCTGAAACTGATTTGAGAAGGTAATTTGAGAGTTAATGATCAAAAAGCCATTAGAGATTCACATTAGCCGTGAAAAAAACAATACATATTCTTGAAAAGAAGTATTTTTATAATTACAATGAGAATTATTATTAAAGGCGTCTGCAGTAGATACCTTAGCATAAGAAAATTAGCCAAATTTGAGAAGTAATATTCCTCTGATCAGGAAGGTATCCCAAGTAGGTACGGCCTAGCGACGGGGCAAAGATTGGCTTCCGACGTCGCAATCGCTTTCATGTCAAAGATCGAAAAACAAAAAAAGTACTTGCTCGTAAGCCCTTGCTCTTCGATACAAGGTGTCCCAAAAGTATGTATACACTGTTTGATCATTAATATCTCCCTTTTCTGGAAGTCTCTCGCCTTCCTTCAGGTACTATTTTGTAAAGCGGGCTTCAACTTAGATTTACAGCATAGAGCGAATCAACTATCTTCATTCACTACTGTAGGATCACGGTAGGAACTTTACGAAAGGTTTTGAGCCATTGAGGGTCCCACTCCGTCTTAGAAAGTAAACCAAACAATCTAAAAGCTCCACACTAAGCTAATTAAACTCGCTCACAACAAATATGAACTTTACATTTACCACGAAGCTTCCTTTATGACTTATGCCGCGCAATAGCCATTTTTACAATGCTCCCTAATGCAGTCACACCTTTTAAAAAGCTTTGCAAACTCCTAGAAAGTTGAGTATTAAAATCAGAACACGTAAAATCTCTGTTACACCAGTTTTCAGAATTTTTGGAAACTTTTTTTGAAACAGGCTAATCCACAATAATGCTGTGAGCCAAAATTCTTGCCGTAATCCTACGGTACCAAAAAGATCCGTGGTTCCCTTTATACAAAAGTCTAAGTTGAAGCGAGCTCTACAAAATGGTACATTAAGGTAGGTAAAAGAGTCCCTGGGAAAACAGATATCAACGATTAAACAGTGTATACATACTTTTGAGACATCCTGTATATAAATTGACGACTGCTGTCATCCAATCCAAAGCGACATAGACAAATGTTTCGACATTTTGAATAGCCAATCCCCTAATATAAGATTCAAGTGGGATAAACCCGTTGAAAATTGGCTTTTTTTGGCAATTTGGCATTCTTAAACGTCCAAATGTTTAAATCTTACGGATCATACGTAACTAAACGCATACCTGTAAGCAAGAAAGCAGGCCGACTGAAATGAAACAGACAAAAAAATACCAATTTGCGTTATTTCATCTGATGACTCAGCAGAGCTATCAGAAAATCTTTGTCCCAAGCGGACCTCGACGATTCCTTAAAATTATAATATGCATAGTAGTTAGTAATAGTTCTAATTTCAAAAAACAAAACAAAAACGCCGCAATCAAGCGTATGACAGATTGTGCACGACCGCCAATCATCCGAGCTCTGGAAAACCAGGCGAATGTATGAATTAAGAATGGTGTATCTCATGACCTGTCAAAAAAAATGCATGGAGCAATACATAAGAGAGACCGGCAGACCCTTGTGCACAAGAATCAAAGGACATCTCGATGCCTTAGAAATTTCAAAATGTTCACACCTTTGGGTATACAGCGAAGGTTATGTCATGAGAACTATTACTTTCAAGTCACTGTTACGACCTTGTCGCACGAATCCGAGTTAATAGCCCTCAAAATGTGGAGGCTTCTTGGATAAGGTCTAAACCACCAAAATGAACCGCAAAGATGAAAGCATTGCCATAAGCCTGTTCTACTGTCAAACACTGTGTGGATTCTAATACGAGATCTTCTATAACCATATAAAAAACATTGCTGACATTGTTATATGATATTGTGCCAGTGCCAGGTTTGTACGGTGGAATTCTTTATTGGCCTTAGGTTTCGACAATTTTGGTCTTCGTTGGAGGCCTGAAAGTAGAGTGTAGCGTTATATCTGCGAAACCAGGCCGCCAAACGCCTCTCCGCACTGCCAAGCCTAGACCCCGTCCACTCAGCGTACTGAGACATGTTGATCAGAAAACGAACCTTTCTCCACCGTAGTGCTAGCGAGAGTCAGTAGAGTCATTTCTGTTATTCATGCTAGGATTTCTGAGAGAAATCCACGCTGCCTCGACGGTCTTTCTTACTGTAATCTCTGCCTCGTATGACAAGATAGTGCATTTAACGTCAAATTGATAGCCATTGCGCGTCTCAATCCTATGCCTTCCTAACGGTGATAGCGCATTTGCTCGTTTTTTGGGTGGATAAAAGTTCATTTTGTGATCAACATGTCTCAGTACGCTAAGGGCGGGACGGGGACTAGACTCGGCAGTGCGGAGAGGCGTTTGGCGGTCTGGTTTCGCAGATATAACGCTACACTCTACTTTCAGGCCTCCGACGAAGACGAAATTGTCGAAACGTAAGGGCAATAAAGAATCCTACCGTACAAACCTGGCACTGGAATAATATCACATAGCAATTACTAACACATTCCCGAATGCCAAGGTTTAGAGAAGAGAGAACATGGAACTTACTAATTGTTGACACTGACTATCATACTCGCTCATAGAGCTGCAGCGCAGTACTGATTGTTCGGTCTCTATATGCCGGTCTGACAAGACCGAAATCAGGCTTTCAACATCTATTCTGCCACTCCATCACTAAGCTAAACTGAATCTATTGCCAAACAAGGCGTTTGAGCGGGCGGGCAGTTCTCAAAGTCAGGTGGACGAACAGCCGAAACGTTGACTTATCGCGTAATAAAGTCTTGCTACCAACCTTGGTCGACAGCTTAAAAACAGTATTACAAATGAGTCACAATGTCAAGGTTTATCGACAATCAAGCACAAAATATCAATTATCCTTTGATTGTTTTAATTATATCCTTCGCTTCGTTCACATGTTTAAGGATTTCCGGAGCCTTTACGAGAACTTTCGGAACCTTGAGGAGCGTTTCTCCTATTTTTCCGAAGATTTTTCCCAGAATGTCTTTGAATTTGCCGCATTCGCCAACGTCCAGAATCTGTAAGCATTCTAAGGAGTAAAATCGCAAACTAAGTGATGTCTTGCTTGATCAACATACCACTAAGATGGTAAGTAACAAGAAGGTTAGGTTGAAAATTCTCATTCTTGTCCACTGACGTAATCTCTAGAAAAAGCACTTAAAGTAAGCGGTACATAGAACGTTTGATAAAACGGCAAACAGACGAAACTTCATTGGCATAACTTGACAGAGAAACAAATGAGGTATGGGACTATATGTCGCCAGAAATGGGAGATCCCGCCAGAATTTACGACAAATACGCCTTATTAATACATGCACAGGCTGAGTATCTGCTGCATTGTCCGCGCGAAATCCTCCCACTTCGCTATATAGTCCTCTACCCAAATAAATAATCTTCTGAGTGCAAGGGAATTACGAGTTTACAATAATCTTGATTTCTCTGCTATGTAATTCCCAGGCATTTGTAAGAGGCAATGTCGCAGATTACGTCAAAAATAAAACCTCAAAAAGTCGTGCACAATATGTACAACTCTGTCATCAACTATCTCGCTTGTTTAACTGTGAATTCATCAGCTTTCTTCTCTGAAACAAAAAATATCGGTAATTGCCTTTTCAGAAAAGGAGTGTACAAAGCTTGCGTTTGGTCATGTTCTACCCAAAAGTTCCCAATTGCCAATATCTGCTCTTAACTCTGCAAAGCTGTAGACTATTGATTGGTTTTTTTTTTAGCCACAGCAGACCTTAGCGAACTTCTGTCAATTTTGGTTGGTCATGCCTATGCACAAAATGAAGTGATCAGATAGTAATCGAAGATTGGGGACTTTCTCGTATTATCATAATCTTTTCAGTCGAGATTCCTCCATAAAAAGAGCGGCTTGGCAGCAGCGCACAAAAGTTTTGCCCTGACTTAAACCCACCTTCCTTATCTGCGATGCCGGACTATGGGAAAAACTATAATATATTCAAAGGTCCAAATTTGGCAAACACATCCTTATCCAAAGACTAGTTGTGCAAAAACACTTACTGTGTCTCCAGTGAATGTAGCATCCCTTGAAATCAGTACGCTAAACATCTTGCTAGTCATGCACTTCCAAGCTGGATCTTATAGTACACCATGCGATAAAGCTCCAGTGATTTTATGCACTTGGATGATTTATTTAACAATCTCCAACTCGCTGTTCGAGCCATTATTAACGAGTGCCCAAACAAGCGAGAGCGCCAATCCCGTGATTCACCAAACTTCAGAATGTGGTCCGAACGGTATATAACGGTTGTATAACGGTTGTCATACGTGGTAGAGTTGGTAGCGAGAGATTACAAAGAAAAACTTGCGGTAGAGGGTGAATAAGTTCACCAACGGGTTCAGATGTCTGCAAATGCTCCGCTTAACGTACACCGGGGGACGATAGCAAAGTTGATTGAAGTGTGCTGTAAAAGTGCGAATAAATCAAAAATTCTCTAACTGGTTCAATATTTGTGAGCATTTGACATTTTCAACTAATAACTTCCTCTGCATTGCAGCTGCCAAATATTTCCAAGATGCGGATACGTAAAATTTCCATCATTGAATTTGTCTCACACATATGATACCCAAGTCTGCCGTATCTTCAATATACGAAAACACCGTGAGTTGCAGAGACCATTTGAAGTGAGATGTACATGGTATAAACGCTTCGGTTAAAATATTAGGTTGGCCCGAAAATGTGTTAGCACCATTTTAAGAAATCTGTAGTTTCTTACGCTCCAAAACTTTTGCTTTCCCGAAAATTTGAACTCTTCTGAAAAAGATAATCATACGTTTCACAAAAGCACTTGAGGTATACATTACGAATAGAATTTGTAGGGTTGCCAGAAATGTGAACCAGTGCCGGGACAGAGGTAGCAAATAGTCCTCTGTGAAGCGACTACGCCTATGGCGCTTTGATTCAACGGTTTTCCCCTTACACCAACTGCGCAGGCTATCTGATCAAAGTCCGTTCTCAAGAGCCAAAATTTGTTTGTTCTTTTGGAATCTAGCAAAAGGGGAGGAAAACTTGAAGAAGAAGTCGCTCCAATGATCACTTAAGTGTCAGACTTCTTGCACTGCATACAAGGACTTTTATACCTGCAAGATCTCAAAGTATTTACCTCAACTCTGCATGAAGCGAAGCTGCATTGCTCACTCTCAGATAACCGCCGGGGACAGGCGGCCATGCGAATTTTGAGCAAGCGCGCACCGGAAAAATAGTTCGTTGATTTTTTGCCGCCTGCTTGCAGAAATTTGGAAGAAAATTCGCGAAATTAAAGACGAATGCTTGAAGAACAATCGCAGTTTCTCTATGGATTAACTGCGGCGCAGTGGCCGCATTCTCGCGGACTTTCCGCGAGAATATGCAAAAATTTCGGGGGCCGCACGGTCTTTTGTGGAGGACCGCGCAGCCCCCAGGTACTTTCCGCTGGGAGAAAGTACCTCAAACTTGAGTAATTGGACCAACGGTGACACCTCTGCCACACATAGTCTTACCTGCGCTCGACGTACGCCCGAAAATGCCTAAAAAGAGTCCGAGCGCTTGCTGAAAGTTTGGCCAGCGCTCGCTGAAAGAAATTATTTGCCGAGCGCTTGCAAAAAATGCTGTATTGCTGCCCGCTGGCAGAATATGCACCGTAAAGGAAGTGCCGCTTGCTGAAGGTTCGGCCACGCCCCAAAATTCTGCTGACCGCCTGCAGAAAAGCGCGAGTTTGCGAACCGCCTGCCCCCGGCGATTATCTGAGCAGCCGTGTGATTTATGGGCAAGCGGAGACCGGAAAAATACTTCGATAATTATTGCGGCCCGCTTGCAGACATATGGAGGAGTGTTGGCGAAAATTCAAACGAATTCTGGGAGAACAATCGCGGCCTTTTCATGAACTAGTTGCGGCGCAGTGGCTGCATTCTCGCAAACTTTCCGCGAGAATGTGCAAAAATTTCGGGGGCCGCACGGTCTTTTGTGAAGGACCGCGCAGAGCGTAGGTACCTTCAGCTGAGAGAAAGTACTCCAACTCGGGTAATTAGAACATCGGTGACATCTCTGCCATGTAGATTGTTACCTTTCTCGGGGCCGAAACTGCTCAACAAGAGTCAGAGCGCTCGTGAAAATTTGGCCGGCGCTTGCTGAAAGGAATAGCTTGACGACCGTTTGCAGAAAATTCTGTATTGCTGCCCGCTGGCAGAACATACGACGGCAAAAGAAGTACCGCACGCTGGAGGTCTGGCCACGTTCCAAAATTCTGCTGAACGCCTGCAAGAAAGCGCGAGTTTGCGAACCGCCTGCCCCCGGCGATTATCTGAGCAGCCGTGTGATTTATGGGCAAGCGGAGACCGGAAAAATACTTCGATAATTATTGCGGCCCGCTTGCAGACATATGGAGGAGTGTTGGCGAAAATTCAAACGAATTCTGGGAGAACAATCGCGGCCTTTTCATGAACTAGTTGCGGCGCAGTGGCTGCATTCTCGCAAACTTTCCGCGAGAATGTGCAAAAATTTAGGGGGCCGCACGGTCTTTTGTGAAGGACCGCGCAGAGCGTAGGTACCTTCAGCTGAGAGAAACTACTCCAACTCGGGTAATTAGAACATCGGTGACATCTCTGCCATGTAGATTGTTACCTTTCTCGGGGCCGAAACTGCTCAACAAGAGTCAGAGCGCTCGTGAAAATTTGGCCGGCGCTTGCTGAAAGGAATAGCTTGACGACCGCTTGCAGAAAATTCTGTATTGCTGCCCGCTGGCAGAACATACGACGGCAAAAGAAGTACCGCACGCTGGAGGTCTGGCCACGTTCCAAAATTCTGCTGAACGCCTGCAAGAAAGCGCGAGTTTGCGAACCGCCTGCCCCCGGCGATTATCTGAGCAGCCGTGTGATTTATGGGCAAGCGGAGACCGGAAAAATACTTCGATAATTATTGCGGCCCGCTTGCAGACATATGGAGGAGTGTTGGCGAAAATTCAAACGAATTCTGGGAGAACAATCGCGGCCTTTTCATGAACCAGTTGCGGCGCAGTGGCTGCATTCTCGCAAACTTTCCGCGAGAATATGCAAAAATTTCGGGGACCGCACGGTCTTTTGTGAAGGACCGCGCAGAGCGTAGGTACCTTCAGCTGAGAGAAAGTACTCCAACTCGGGTAATTAGAACATCGGTGACATCTCTGCCATGTAGATTGTTACCTTTCTCGGGGCCGAAACTGCTCAACAAGAGTCAGAGCGCTCGTGAAAATTTGGCCGGCGCTTGCTGAAAGGAATAGCTTGACGACCGCTTGCAGAAAATTCTGTATTGCTGCCCGCTGGCAGAACATACGACGGCAAAAGAAGTACCGCACGCTGGAGGTCTGGCCACGTTCCAAAATTCTGCTGAACGCCTGCAAGAAAGCGCGAGTTTGCGAACCGCCTGCCCCCGGCGATTATCTGAGCAGCCGTGTGATTTATGGGCAAGCGGAGACCGGAAAAATACTTCGATAATTATTGCGGCCCGCTTGCAGACATATGGAGGAGTGTTGGCGAAAATTCAAACGAATTCTGGGAGAACAATCGCGGCCTTTTCATGAACTAGTTGCGGCGCAGTGGCTGCATTCTCGCAAACTTTCCGCGAGAATGTGCAAAAATTTCGGGGGCCGCACGGTCTTTTGTGAAGGACCGCGCAGAGCGTAGGTACCTTCAGCTGAGAGAAAGTACTCCAACTCGGGTAATTAGAACATCGGTGACATCTCTGCCATGTAGATTGTTACCTTTCTCGGGGCCGAAACTGCTCAACAAGAGTCAGAGCGCTCGTGAAAATTTGGCCGGCGCTTGCTGAAAGGAATAGCTTGACGACCGCTTGCAGAAAATTCTGTATTGCTGCCCGCTGGCAGAACATACGACGGCAAAAGAAGTACCGCACGCTGGAGGTCTGGCCACGTTCCAAAATTCTGCTGAACGCCTGCAAGAAAACGCGAGTTTGCGGACCGGCTGTCCCCGGCGACTGACTGGGTAGAGGACCGTAAAGTTCACAAATGAGGGCCTCTGTGCTGACCAAGAAACAAAGCAGTAGGATTGTGAAAAGAAAGAATTTCATTGTTAACTTAATTTATAGTATAAATGCACCTCTTCAAATAAAGGCTATATTAAGATACGAAAAGGAAAAGTCCATATTTCTGTTTTACCCACCACATAATATCCTTTTTCAGCGTTGCATAAGCGGTTGCAAAATAGGGTTATGTTATGTTGACTGCAATGGCTTCTGCTGAGGGCTTACCGTGGCCTCGATGGGAATATTCGTGGAAGGCAAGCCCTACAACATTTGAAGCAAGAAATCGAGAGCTATGACCGACACGGACACAAGTTCCTTTCTTACACTTATATAGCCCTGTAACAGTCATATGCGAGTACTTCTATTGGTCGCTTATATGTAATCAGCTTTGAAAAAATAGATAAGGAAAAATCCCCGACGGTTACTGTAACAAAAAAAACATACTAATCCTTGAACGTTCGCAACTCGTGACTAATATGTGTCCGTTGCTTGTGACCAAAGGTGTCGAATGACAATTCTACGATGCTTTCGGAGCTTTCAGATGATTTTGCCGTAGAAGAAGTCCTTGTTTAATCACACAACAGTCATTAAATGACCCCAGCATTGCCATTAATCAAATTTTGCAGTGTTCAAAATCGAATGGTATTTCTATGAAAATGGTGCTCAAGATTACTTTTTTACCGAAAAATTAGATGCCAAAAAACTATGTTTTCCAGATAAAAGTATCGCCAATGCGAACACTTAGTTCGCTTAAGACTTGATGAATGAAGCCTGAAACTCGTTCCTCTCCAGAATTGGTTTTTCTTTAATAGCATGCTGCGAGTTTATGTCCAAACATGTAAATGCAAGCAACGCTATAATTATTCTGCATGATGCTTGTTTGGAAATCACACCAGAGGGGTAAAAAAATTTGGCTTTTTGCTCTACAAAAGCGAATATTAGTTTCCTTTTGTACTCATAGCTTTCATTTCTTTGAGGCCATTAAATTACGTGCGCTTATGTATGCTTCATGATTCGGAACTCCATTTTGCTCATCTTCATCTAAACATAATAT